TGCTCTGCAGGTGCCCCTGCTCGTCAGAGGGCACGTCGGGCGAAAACGGGGGGTAGACGCCTTTAGTTGAACCTCGGGGTAGGGCGGTAGAACTGGGAAGGGCTTGCTGGGTCATCAGATCCAGATCTCCCGCCCCTGCAGCCCATTTGTAAGCTTTTCATGGTGCACTGCCCATGCTAAAATCAGGGCACTCGTTTCTCCCGTGATTCGTGGGAGAAAATTGCACCAGAAATGTGCAAATGTCGACGGTGGCCTATTGCAAGGGACGCTGCAGCGCATCGGTTCATGCTGGGCAGTCCTGTGCCCACCAGAAAATAAAAGGCTTATATTCCACTTGCTTTCTGCAACGCACAACATTATCCTGAATGCATGCAGCAGCTGGGCGCATGATTCAGACTCTGTTTTGTTCTGTGCTCAGTAAAGGGATCTTCCAAAACGTGCCAGTTCGGCTGCTGATAAGGGCATGGGAAGCATCATTCTTAAGTACAGGCAGAGAGGTAGTGAAAACACAGTGGGAAAGGGCAGCTGGCTGTAATTGTGTGTTATGGTACATTTTCCAGAAAATGAAGTGGCATTTTAGTCAGATACCTCATGCTGAAGGGGACTGTAGGTGATTTCCAGTCTTTTCTCACTACTTTGCCATTGCAAAAAAGAGGACGTTTGGTTTTTAAACCTTTTCCTGGCACATAGTCAAAATCCTCACCCAGAAACATAACTTTCTCAAGTGCTGGTAAAGGTAACGCTGCCAGAAATGATGTTTTCTACAAGGGTTTTGAAAATCACACCTAAGAATGCTTTAAATAAATAAATATAATAGGACATAAACTTTCACTTCATCTGCTGGTTAATAAAGTAAGATCTGTTGGCTGTTGGTCCCAGGCAAGCAGGATCATTTGAATATGCAGGTTCACCGACTGAAATAAACTGTTATATATGCAAATTTACTGTTGTACCAAAGTTTTAAACTGTTTACCTGAACCGAGGCAGTATTTAAAAGCTTTCAAGGTAGGGAAAAGGAAAATTATTATTATCTTAAACAGGATGGATAGCTGTTTGATATGCTTCTAAAGAATTAGCAGTTTATAGTTGGTATCTGTCCTTCAGTATGTGGAAAAAGAGAATGAAATGACAGTTGTTCACCCTCCTATTTTCCAACAGGGTTCCTTCCCCCCACCCCCCGTTTTTTTTGTTTGCCTTTACCAAAACACACAGATCTTGGAGTTCTTGGTGAAAAGACTTTAAACCAGCCCCAAAAAACACTGGGGTGTAAGCCACAGTATCTCCAGTAAGAGAAATGTTGCTGTTTGGGAAAGTGTTGATTTTTGGAAATGCTCATGGTGGTGATGGTTGTTAACATACATTAGCTCTGTGTTGTTGTCAGGATATGCACTGAAAATCGCTTGTGTGGACTGCTAAACAGGGTATTGCACTCAGAATATCAACTGTCTTAGTTACAGAAGTAATTAAGTGTTTCACAAAATATTGTGAAATCACCTGCAGAAAACTGGCTTCTATGCCACAGAAATACTTTTCTTCTGATTAATTTAATGCACTGTAATCTGAGCCAGTTTTTTAAAGCCTTTTGGGCAAATGAAGTAACGAAAACGTAATTGTCAAAAGGACGCTGGGAGGCATGGTTATTGCCTGGGTTTCCAGATTGTTTGGGTGGTTTTCTTATATATATGTTTTTGTTGGACCATCACTGGTTCAAATTCTGCACAAAGGTAGATGGCACAGCTCATATTCTGCCAAGACTGAGATGGAAACTAATTCTTATCTTGAGCAGAAATGCTTGTCAACTATTGTTTGACTTTAACCAAAATGTAACTGGAAAGGAAAATTTTTATTAAGTCCTAAACATCTGCTCTTTTTCTGAGATGTTCACTTCCTCTAGTCACCCTGATTGTGGAGACTTACATAAGCTGCCCCTCTTCACTCATTATTGGTGGCTCAGACAAAAGCAGTGGTGATATTCTGGGCATCAGCTGCTAGGGATTCTCTGTGGGATCAGTATGGAGAAGGTAGAAAAACAACAGAAAGAGCTTGGGCTGCTTTGTGTAAGCCTGTAGAGGTCTGCACTCACCCAAGGCTCATGCTGACAGATGAAGTTGGATCTCTGCCAGAACAGTTCTTGGGAAATTGAATGAAATGTAGCATCTCCTGGCTTGTTTAGAGAGGCTTGTGTAGTTATACTGTATCTGATAGCTGGGTGTTACTAAAATGCAGATGAATAATAGAGTTAATAATCTTCTGGATAACATTAGAAAAGAGTTACTGCTATGTTATATAGCTGTAGCTACATAAATTGAAGTTAGGAACTACTCTTTTAGTGGTATTTAACACTACTCTTTTTATGTAGTAGGACAAAGGAGTATATCCCTTTTGTTTCTCATGGTGATATCAAGAAGCAAGTTAGGAAACCCAAGCAGAACTTTCTCGTAGCTTATAAATATGCTGTTGTTACACTACTTTAATCAAAGTTCTTCAAGACAAAGCTTTTTTAAATGATGTACTCTATTTTGTTATTCAGCTTATTAATAAAAAAATGAATATTTACTTGGACAAGTCCTACATAGGACTCTACTTGGTAAATCTCATTTATTTGACACTGAACCCTTCATAGCTACATTTTGAGTGGGACCTTTTTCTACTTGTTTGTACACTTAGCTGAGAGGTTTTCTTCAGTTACTTAGGTTATTTTACGGTTATCTGGGCTTATAAATTCTTCTGGGGGCAGGTTTATTTCCTTTCTGTTCTGTTTCATCCCAGGTGAAAGTGATGGCATTCAGTCTTCAGTGCTGATAAAAAGCCAGCACTGTGCATGGAAATGTGTACATCTCACATTTAGCTGACCTTGTGAAAAATGTGACATTTGAAGTCATTGGATGCAACTGTAAGCAAGTCTTTTGAAATGAAAGAAAATACTTAAAAATTGGGAATTCAGAGATCAAAACATTCCTTTGGCAGCCATTGTAGTCATTGTTTTAGATGCGAGGGCTGCTGAGAATTTTGCCTTGCCAGCTGCTGTGGGAAAGAAGGGAAGTATGTGGAGGCCTGATATTAATATTGCAGTTTCCCAGCTTGGGTTCTTTCCCTTTCTGGGATCCTGTTTACTTTATATGATTGCACCGTTTTCAAAACATGATGCTTTCAAGTGTGTGCTTCT